TATAAAACTTAGACGACCATGACTGCTAACACGCAATGAATTATGTACAAGTTTGAAATCTTTTGAAGACATCACGTAAAAAATGGTATTTTTCCTTCTTTGATCTTCACTGACATAAACTTCAGCTTTAAGAAAATCTCAAATTCCTTCCCGTAAAGTAAAACTCGCCAGAACAATTAAGTTCACTCAAAACAACGCCCAAAAGTTTATCGGAGTATTTGCACTTCTTTTTTTTCTTATGACAACACAAAAACAATTTAGCGAATGCGTAAATGAAAAAAATACTTGGAGGCTCTTTGTGATTATCCGAATTGTANCACTGACATAAACTTCAGCTTTAAGAAAATCTCAAATTCCTTCCCGTAAAGTAAAACTCGCCAGAACAATTAAGTTCACTCAAAACAACGCCCAAAAGTTTATCGGAGTATTTGCACTTCTTTTTTTTCTTATGACAACACAAAAACAATTTAGCGAATGCGTAAATGAAAAAAATACTTGGAGGCTCTTTGTGATTATCCGAATTGAATTTTGATAGCTCAATTTTATGTGAATCTTTTAATTATCCTTGTCTATAGCTCCGTAAACGGGGCCATTCATATTTCAATGCTATCAAATCAAACGAAAATATGGAGTATTAAATAATTTGAAATTTAAAACATTTGTAGCATAGCTCATAAACATAAAAACAAACATTAAAGATTGGCGCCTACGTGTACAGTACCCATATTATTATCTAGTGATACAATTTTTCAACTTACGATCATACCTTATTGCTTATTAAAATATTGAACCATATATTAAATAAATATGGCAATGATTTGCGAAATATTAAATTTAAGATCTTTCTGCCCGTATCAGTATGTGGAGCTGGCACAACATTTTCTTTTTTTTATATTCAGGCCTATCAGATCTCTGCAGTGATAGCCTTCTCTCACATATCCTTTTTCACAAAGCCCATTCTAGTCTTTTTAGGACGCCTCTCCTAACATTACCATCTAATTTCCTACCCAGGGTCTTTTTGGCTACACGATCTCTTCGTATATAATTTACTTGTAACATGAAACTTTAAATAGATGACATCAAATCATAAAGGGATAAAACAGACGCGGAATAGCGGTCGCTGTACTAATATATTAAAAGATTTTTAAAATGTTTATGGCCTATCCCTATTTGTGTATGTTATGCACAACGGACACAACCATATTTTTTTTTTTTGTGAATCATTATCATAGTGATGCTACAAAAAGTAGATTTGGTCATAAATAAGTATAACAAAAGTTCTTTGCTTATTAAGTTCCAGTCCCATAAATGATCGCCAGACTTCGTAAAAAAGAACATAAGATAATGCACTCACTCATAGTAACCAAACTAAAAGGTCGTTTATTTAATAGGTACATATTTGTTTAATATATCGGTCTTATTATATGAAATAAAAGGATTTTCTTGAATAAAAAAAACCTGAATATAATTTGCAAAAATTCAGAATCACAAGATTCTTTTCTAAAGGATTCCAAGAGTTTGACTTTAGCGAACTATGAGAAAAACTAAATCAAGGCATAGAAAGTTCAATTATAGATTCATGAAATACATTAACATGAACATAAGCTATCTTCATTTGTAAGGAATATAAATTTTCAGATATTTCCTGTAAAAATGAACGAGCCTTAATTTGTGACTTCCAGTATAATTTTTCCAAACGAACCCTAAAATTGGAGGTGACGAGAAAAATTATCCTTTTGTGGCGTGTCTTTTGTCGCCACGAACTAGTACCGACAAAGGAATCTTAATTAAGAAACAGGAAATTTCTTTAATGCCACCCATTTTGTTTTAACGACGCTATATGGAGATTTGGGGACTACATTCATTTTTATGTTAAAATCATCTAATTTCATAATGGAAATGTAAAAATTAATTTTAGGTAATCATCGCCTAATTAGCTCTGTCGGAATGACTTCATTTTTCATCTTAATAGCGTGTGATTTTATTTATTAGTATGCTTATTTTTAATGCACTAGATAGACTAGTTGGATTTATGTCACTGCCCATCCATCTTGGGACGTAAGGACGAGATCCATTTTTTATGATTATGGCTGTCCTATTCTTCGGATTTAAATACGTGACTGCGTGAATACGTACTGCCTTGCCGTAAACATACAAAAATCACGATGCCATATCTTATTACTACACCATGCTTTTCACGATATCACAGAGAAACTCTCAAGCTATTCATTGATTCCCTTGGTACCTTTGCAAAGTTTGGAGGTAATTAATGATCCGTATAATGTTATACCTAGAATGTGCACCTAGATAGAATAATATTTTATTATCCTTTCCACTTAAGGATTGGTGGGTCAGTAATCACGCTAGAGTGAGTGGGATTCATGATGTTATCCTGTTTTTCTGGAATATTTTTGGCTAATAGGATAAACTTTCAAAAGACGCCCAGCAGTTCAATTCAGGTACTACTTAGCTACTAGATAAGCCGCCCCCACAAAGTATGAGAATTATGTGTTAACCTATTTCTAAGTTCCTACTAAATTTATAATATTATTATAGATAAGTAAAATATTTTGTCCATTTTATTTATTTATCGTATGGCATTCGTTTACACTGCGTGGTTATAATTTAAATTTACAGTTTGTGAAATAATCGATAGCTTCTTCTGTTACATTTTTGAGATCTTCCACTTGGCCTGCGAATCTCGTTAGTGGGCATTCCATGACAAAAATAAAAAATAAAAAAAATAAAAATAAAATTCACATTAAAAAACATGTTGGCAAAATTCCCTACAAAAGCTTTACATATCTAAATATGAGAGGGAACGAAATAGCTAAATCATTACATTGTTAGTAGATATCTGGCTCAGCCGAAAATTGAATTTCAATAGTGCTACTAGAGTTTTCAGAATATTGGGTTTTGCCACCCAGAATACGTTACCAACAATATGAGCTTTATTACAGAATTTAGGAATTATTTTATTTTATTTTTTATTGCCTTTGTAGGCAGACGAGCATACAGCCTGATGGTATGCGGTTACCATCGAATGACGTCACTAGATGAGTGAGCATAAGTTAGAAATCTCGATGGTATTGTTGTGAGGGCCATCTTAATCTTGAGCTCAAAACGCATGAATGTTCTTTTTTTTGTTGCCCTTGTAGGCAGACGAGCATACGGCCCACCTGATGATGAGTGATTTTCGTCGCCCAAGGACGTCAGAAATGCCAGGGGCAGAGACAAGCCGCTGTTTGCCGTTAAGTAAAACATTTCGTCGAATATTGTGGATTAATAGTTGTGTTTAAGAATTAATTTGTTTGTTTTTTTTTTTTGTGTTATACGGTCTGGAAGAGAAAAATGATTGCTTCCGGTACTGTTTCAGTTATTTCTTTTTGCCACGCCACAGACTATATTTTATTATCAACGCGACTATCTTCCTGTGGTCGATCTATTCATGGCTGTTTAATGTATTTAATGCCAGAAGCAGTATCACAATATGATCTAATAAAACTAATAATGCAGCCATTCACAGCATGTGGAATGGAGGAACCTTCGAAAGTATTCTTTTTCTCATTCTTTCGCAGACAAGATCATATAAAAATATATGTTTGTTTCACTTTCCGAGTGTAATTTCGTTTTATATAGTAAATTAATCTATGTGTCATCTAACTTCAAATTATAATGGTGCTGAAAAAGTTTTTATTTCAAAACAAATAAATGTGTTAGTACAAAAGCATTTTTTTAAATAGAACCGAACGCTTTTTGGATTTTTAGTTTTATTAACTGTATTTTTTTTTATTGCTAGCGTGGACGAGCTCACCGCCCTCTTGGTGTTAAGTGGTTACTGGAGCCCATAGACATTTACAACGTAAATGCACCACCCACCTTGAGATATAAGTTCTAAGGTCTCAAGTATAGTTACAACGGCTGCCCCACCCCTCAAACCGAAACGCATTATACTGATTCACGGCAGAAATAGGCAGGGTGGTGGTACCTACCCGTGTGGACTCACAAGAGGTCTTACCACCAGTAAAGTACGTAAGTAAAATACGTATTACTTACTTACATTTGTTAGCACTAACTCTATTTCTAGACATTGCTAATGTACCAATGGTATTAAGCTTCATACAGCGTAGACATAGTCCACGTTTAATTAAAACGAGCCTCGCTTTTGATCGAGAATAAAATGATTAATATTTCCTCTTCTTTGCTTACCGATTTTCACCATGACGACAACAAAGAAGAGAAACGCTTATTTAATTTCAAATATATAACGGAGATTATAAAAGCAAGAAGATTTTAATTAAAAACACCAATCACTTCTAACGAAAAATTATAACGATCCCTGGTTTTTTTTTTCCAATTAAGATGAGGCGGTATAGCAGAAATTCGCTTTGATGAATACGAAGGGAAATGGTTCGGTGACCGCAACGGTATTAAAATCTTTGACCTGTTTTTGTACTGATGAAAGCTGTTTCATGTAAACAACGCGATCATCAAGCCGTGGAGTTATCGTAAGAGACATCAGCTGCGACAAGATTGGAGAGTTTATGAAAATATCCGATTACTATACTCTTTTGGAATTGAATTTTTGGTGCTGACGTTAATACCTACAAAGCCTAGATTTGTCAAGATTTTGAAGACTTTTCTAGAACAAAAACGCAACGTATAAGTATTTGTGTTGATTTTTATATCTTCGTTCTTGCGTTTGACGGGACTCATGTTTGGTGTCACCCTTTAAAAGGGATTAGCTAATGCATTTTACGAAAATAATCTTATAGCACAAGACTTCAAAGTCTATCTTAAATTGATAGGAAAATTGTAAACATAGTCTTAAAGAGGGGTCTATAACCTTTGGGTAGGTATGATGACCTAAAAAAATTCTTAGAACAATATAAAGAAATACGTATGTAGTGGGTAAGGTTTTGGCTATACCCAAGGCAGTCCTGACGTTGAATTATGGCTGAAATCTTCGACGGTATTAAAATAATAATAATTCAACATACCGTCCAGTTCATAGCCCTGGCCGCCCCATTGCGGCAAATCGTGTGGATACGACTTTGGATCACTTCGATTGCCAATAGAGATCTTCAAGCTTTTCCACAGCTTCATTTTGACAACATATTTGTCAACTGTTCACTAACACTCACTGTTGCCACTGGTGAACACTACACGTCACTTCTACTTACACTTTACCTGAAATGAGAAAACACATTGTAAAATCCAAAACCTGATGATATTTAGCGATGAGGCTGTGTTAAAATAAAATATCTCAGTTTTAAAATCTATATCTGCTCAAAGTATACTAAATAAGGCACAAACTTCTCTATCAATATCTCTGGCAAAATTAAATGTAACCAAAATACAATAAAATTGCCATCAGCATTAGCCCAAAAATATCCATGAACCATTCGTATTGAACGAAGATAAATTATGTTTTCGTTTTACGGAACTATGTCAAGATCCCATTAAAAAGTTTTTATCGTAGCATTGTTTGCAGGCAACCGTATCGGATGCTGATCGATGCGTAACCGACGACCCGTGACGTTCTGATGTTGCACAAATTGCCGTTTGCGGGACAATGCATAGATGCGATTCGAGGTTCAACGATTCCTTAGTTCGAGATTACAGTAATGAAATATTTTTGGAACGAAATTCCATATGGGATGATGCGGAAGGATACCGTAACCGGAAAAAAACGTCCGTAACGTAAGATTTTTGTTATTTATATATAGTCTTAGTATGATGGCTATACAGTGTCTAATGTATAGTCTACGTGATGACGGTTATTATTATTATTCATATATATAGCTGTTTCTTTGTATATTATTATTTTTATATTTTTTATAAATCATTGTGAAGAAAATAAAGTTGATAACTTTTTAAAGTAGTTTTTTGTTTTATTTTTATCAATAAAAAAATCTTAATAAAAAATGTATACCCGAATAATTATTTTCTTTATACCTCGAATAGAACTTAAAATTAATATTTTTATAATAAGGAACTTCGTTCCTATCCGGTGTCCCACGACACCACACGTCTTTTTTTGTAACATAGCAGCAAAGTAGTTATATAAAATGCTATAAGTCGTTAGTAACTCTTTTTTTTTTTCAAAACATCAGATTTCCAATCAGAATTGTATTTGGACTTCAGGTACAGTCTGTTTTAAATAATTTAAGATGTTTTAGTTAGGTAAATACATATTTTTTCATGACTCGTTGATGCAGTAGTTAGCTCAGTGACTGTAGCGCCGTGGGTCATCGTTTCGATTCCCAGAGTGGGCAAACATTAGTGATGAACCGGATTTTTTGCTCTTGGCCTGGGTGTTTATTATGTATACATGTATAGGTAAATATTTAAACGAATATATAATAGATATCTATGTCAGTCTCTGGTAACCATAACGTGAGGAATCCTAATTTGGGTTTGGATCAACGTGCGTAATCTGTTCCCATTTATGTGTGTTATAAGTAGATTTTTCGGTAGGCAGCGGCTTTGGCTTTGCCCCTGGCATTGTTGAAGTCCATGGGCGACGGTAACCACTCACCATCAGGTGGGCCGTGTGCTGGTCTACCTACAAGGACAATAAAAATAAATCGGATCTGATGTAAATAACGACTGACTGACATTTAAATTCCTTGAAACTTTCTTTCAACAAATGATCTAAAATACTTAGCGGTTGTATTTGCGTGAGAACGCTTTTGTTGTTTATGAAATCGATATCTAATTCATCTGTCTGTGTATTGGCCATAAAATATGCACTATACTAATACATTCAACATATATTGATATGAGCTCCAAGCATTTAAGTCTTCGGCCGAATGCCAATAAAATCCGTAGAGAATTAACAATCATTTTTTATCATTCACCCATAAGTTTCATGTAAATGTATTCAATACGCTGTTCTCGCAGATAACCGTGACTTGCACATAGCATGGCATCGTTTTGTTGTTGATAATGAAGCCCAAAAAGCCAATGTACGTTACGCTGAATCACTGTTTATATACAACGATTGGACAATAGTTGCGAAATAGTGAATCGGCGGAACTTGCTTGAGTCTCTGAGAGGGTAGTATTAAATGTGTTTATGTCGGCCATTTGCAAACTTACGTTCCGTAATGTAATACGAGTAATTATGAGTAATTATATTGTTTCCTTCGGTTTTAACGAGTTTTAGACACAATTAAAATTATTTCTACGATTAGGTATAATATATACATATTTACGTCTTATGTAAAGTATGTATGTGTTTTTGTATATATATTGGTGATCATGTGTTGAACTCATATTTCAATTCATCTAGCACTACCTGCACTACTACACACTACCTTTGGTTGACTGGTAGAGAATGCCTTAGACATTATGCCCGGCAATACATGAAGTGTAATAAATAAATAAAAATAAATCTCTTTGTTGTTTTCATTTTACTATCTCCAATTTTTATTTTACGGAGGATTAAGATGAAATTTGTTGACATTTGAAAATAGCAAACTCAAGATAAACCTATAGAGTAGTTTTAATTTAGAGCAATGCACACTTTACCAATGATAATTTTTTTAAATAAAATTACTTTCACTTCAAAATGAAGTAACAGATTGATACAGTTTTTCAAGGTTAGGAGAGTAATGTAGTCTACCTTTTATCCCATACAAACATCTCACTTTCACGGGACACCACAATGACACTTTTCCTTGACCACGCGGACAAAGCCGCAAGTAACGGGTAGTATTATCTAAATGCTTTATTTACAGAAGATTGACAATTGAATTTACTCTTGTTGGCAAACGTAATCCTGCTTGTGGAACAACTCTGAATACAAGAAAATATTCATAAAGGCCTAAAAATAATTGTCAAAATTAGTCCGACGTAAGCATAAAAATTTAATTTAATGTATGTATAACGTAAAATAAATGAAAAATCTCGAAAAAAAATATTTAGAAAGGAATTGTTCATAAAAATTAGCACATTCACACAATACACAGCACAGTGTGGGAAGTAGCCATCACTCAAGCCATTTACAATGCATAACTTAATTAACCGAGTAGGGATGGGTTCAAAAACAATTACTGTCCATGAAACCACTTAGATCCGTTCATGTTTAAGACGAGAAGAATATCACAGAAATAATATCTTAAGAGAAATATCATGCGAAGAAACGTAAAGGATATTATACAGCTCTTGCTAGTACTTCTTCATCATCAATCCACAGTAGGAACTTCATTAGTTTTCTACTTAGCACACTCTACTCCTACCTTTGATATCTTTGTTGGTGTTCTGTCCCGTAACAGTTTGTTCTAAAATACATATTTATATTATTATTATTTTTTATTGTGCATAATTTCTTTTCTTATTTTTGCTCTTTGAGTACGTAACGCGACACAATTTGGTTTACATGTATTATTCATTTCTTATTTTTCTTGTACTGGGTATGCGACATATTGTGTGTATCGGAATGCACCATTTCCGTGGGAAATGGTTCTTTGGGGCGACACTAGCAACACCGCCAGCCTGCCTGTTAGTGCGAAAAAACAACAGAAACAGAGGTTTGTCACGCGAAGACGCTGTCGCCGCATCGGCACGCGCATATAATTTAAATAGTTTGAAAAGTTTCCCCTTTCATATAAAAAACTGGAAGATAGTGACATTGGCCTATGGCTTTCTACATGTGAAGGATAGATGAACTGATTCTGTCGGCAATACTCATCCTCGACCAGGACCTTCGGACGTGGTTGCGGAACGATTCACGGTAAGTCGTCAGACCTAGCTCATATCCTAAGGGCAGTTCGAAATCATGATGAATCCAGAATAAGACACATGCTGTGTTCGTGTCAAGCGACGCGCTTATGCCGGTGTTGAAATCCCGCAGTACCAAGCTTCAAAAGGAATCCCATTCCTAGATCTTCTATCTACAATCTGTATGCAGCGTCTCCTCAAGTACTTCGGACACGTGGCCCGACAAAATCCTGAGAACTTAAAAAAATTAATAGTTGTAGGTCACGTGGAAGGAAAGAGAAGTCGAGGAAGATTGCCAACCAGGTGGACGGACATTATCAAGGAGGCCACAAAGAACAGCGTCCCGGGCGCCATTAAGCAGGCCGAATGCAGGCAACATTGGAGGAAGCTGGTGCAAAAACTGGACCAAGGTGGTCACGACCCTCAGTAATGAGGAAACGACAAAGAAGAAGAAGAAGAAGAAGAAGTTATACAAATGAATCACAAAATTTATAAGAAGAAGAAGGTTTGAAGATTTACCAGTAGTAAAATGATCATTTTTTTTTTTTTTATAAATCGGTAAACAACTTCAAGACCAGTGAGTTGTGAGCTCGCACTGGGAAGGTAACATAATTGTAGCCATGTTCCCAAATGCGAAGTGTTCATAGTTCGAAAGATGACAGCCGTTTTACAATTGAAACTTCAACTTCAAGTCTCTATGGGAGATGGGCTCTAAAAAACATTAACTACCTAGTTAGTTCAAGAAAATCAATATAAATATAAACAGTCACCTTGGACAGTAAACAATTATATGTCGGAAGAGCCACAATTACTAAAACCATTGTCAGACATCATAGGGGCGAATAGGGTGATCGAGCTTAGCCGACGAAACATATGACAGTTCTTAGGACGGAGGCACCGCTCTTCAAGAAGGCTGGTTGGTAAGTGTGATGGCGTCTACGCGCCTCTATCGGCTAGGCTCTGTCGCAGCACGAAGTTAGCAGAGTTCCGACGACACCGCAATCGTTCTGTCATCTCTTGGAAATCGTGCTGCGTTTCGTTTAGCTACTAAGCTAATGACCGTCTCCGACGTAATAAAAATAATTCGATGATGTTTTTTCACACGAAATGACCCAATAGTTCCTTAAGTTCTAAATACCTAGTCAGGTCATAAATTCTGTCACATGTTTAATGTAAAATAATTGAAACAAGTTTATTCATTATGTAACCATTCATATACCAAAATGAACTTAACAAAACATAGATTCTTATGACACTAAAGTTTATTCAAAATGACCTCCGTGATTTTGAATACAGGCCTTCAATCTGCGCGGCCAGTCGTCTATCGCAGCACGNCTGTCATCTATTGGAAATCGTGCTGCGTTTCGTTTAGCTACTAAGCTAATGACCGTCTCCGACGTAATAAAAATAATTCGATGATGATTTTTCACACGAAATGACCCAATAGTTCCTTAA